GCGTTCCTGCTTGGCACTCGGCTAAGAGAGTTAGTATGTGCATGTTCAAGTAGAAGCAGAAACTACCATCCAAAGAAAGGGCAACAGCAAGTTAGCAGGCTTTAGATAAGGCAAGCGTCTTACTTATTGAAGACTTTCTTCTCAAGCCGGGAACGAGAAGTATTAGCCTGCTGTTTCAGGTCTGTCAGATTTGGGTATTTTTTCTTCTTTCCTTTCTTTTTCCCTCCTTTTCCATTATTTTTAGAGGACCCAAGATCCACTCCTGTAGCTGCTTCAACTTCTCTCATGAATTCTGGATCTCGCCACTCTGTTTAAAAGAAAAACCATGCACTTTGAAACTCCAAACCCAAGTCCAATTTGCAAACTCCTAAGGTACAGGTTCTTGTCACCACTAGGCGAGGGCAGAAACAGTGTGTTGTAAGTTACAGACACAAAGGAAGGGGAGGATAAGACAGCTGGCCAAAACCACAGATCTTGATGAAAAAGCCCTGCCAATCTGGGATTAGTACCTATTATCAACTGCTATAGAGAAAACTGTTCCGTGGGAAGACTTAAATCAACTTTTACAGCAGCACAGCAGCGAAATTCCTAGGAGACTCTTCCATGTAGGAGAGGTGACAAACACAGTGATCGTTATTTATAAACTGAACAAAATGCCAACAATGCAGCTGGAGGAGCTTACCTGCAGAAATAAATTTTGAATAAGCAAAGTTAAAAATATGGAATATAGCAACTCCAGTGCAGAGCGGGGGCTACTGAATGTTGTAACATTTCTGCACCAAAGAATCGTATTTGCTTCAAAACATGCAACTGATATCTGACATCTAAAGAGTATTCTTGAATAAGACGACATGACCCTGTTTCCATGTGCCCAGTTTTGCATCTGAAAAAGATACTTCAAAAGAAGTATCCCACACTTCATCAGTTTAATTATCTAAATCAAGTTTCTTCTCTTGAAAACAGCACAAGAGTGAATTTATCTTGTCAAAAATTTGTCTGACAGTTTTATCAATACCTTTAAGCTTCACAATGCAAATACAGACTGTAACTAGATTCTCATCATAGATGCACAACAGGCATAAACAATTTAGACTAAACTCTTTGTGGAAGCAGTTGTCTCTCATTTTTGGTATAGTCCTACACATCAAAACAGACAGAATAAAAGTTAAGTAGGTAAAGTTAGTAAGTAAAAATGTGGCTAGAGGATAGGTATCTTCGAGTAGAAAAAATGAGCTGTGTAAACTTAGGAAAATGACACCCTTTCAAAAAACATTTTGAGAGTATGGGTTGGAAAAAAGTGAAAAATGCCACTTCAAAAAGTAACATGGTTCAAACTCAGCATAAATATGAGAAACCTGGATTTTAATAACCAAAAATTACCACTCATTTGTCATATAGGCTCACGTATGTCATTCAGCCTTTCTTACCTGAAGAAATTGTAAAACCAAACTCTGACTAAGCTTATTTATCATCTATGTAGATATGAAAAAAATATACAGTGCTAAATGACAATACAATTTCACTTATACACCAAGTTGGTCATTGAGTGTGACAAATATTGGTAACAACATTTCAAGAAGGTCAGTGCCACTTAACAGTACTTAAAAAGATGTTGTAATACTAGAGCAACTCTCCAAGGAAAGGTTAGATCTAACCTACTAGTATTATATATGAAAGCAAGGACAGGATAAAAATCCATCACAGACAAAAGGATAACTAAGAATGAAGCTGTATAGGGACTGAGCTGGAGAAATACAGAGGGAGGAAACAGAACACACATACTTGATAGATCATAAGACTTCACAGAGTTTATTTTTTTGAAGTGAGGGAATACAGAACAGCACAATTCAGATACAGGAACGATTAATCCAAGATTAAGGAAAACTGTCTAAACAGTTTATCTCTCAGTAATAAGAAGGCGTCACAGTTTAGGAACCCAGTGAATGGAGCAATTGTTTAAACACAACGAAAAAATGCCGGCATCCAGTAGAGATGAAATGAGCATTTGAGTAAAATGAAGGAGCAATTTAAAAGCCTTTGAGAAAAATCAATAGAATGCCAGGGAAGAGCAGCCTTTTTGAGCACTGATGGGCCCCTAAAGCTCTTCATACATTGTTACTGAGTTTAGCAGCAGGGAAAAGAAAATTACACAGTTTGCAAGGGTAGGCGGGAATCAATACTGTAGTTAGTAAAGAGATGCTATTTCACATCTGACTGGCCAGCGGCCTGCCTTCACCAGCCTGTCCTGATACCTGTTTGTTAACAAGTCACTAAGGGCTGAAAAACCAGATACTCTTCAGGGTTGACACAAAAAATAGGCACTTAATTTGCTCCTGTGTGCGAACTATTGGAAAAGGATGAACACTGCACATTAGCAGGTCAGCGTAATCCCTCATGATTCATTGTTTCAGGACCAAAGAGCCCAAAGCACCATTTTGTGAACATCTAGCTAGAATCTAAAATTTTACACTAAGTTAAAAAATGCTTCGTAGCAACAGTGATAGTGTTGCCAAAACACAATCACCACATGAACTGTATTACTTTTATATAATTGTTTTCCCATTCTGCCACATAAGGATGAAAATAACCTCCCTCCAATAGCAAAAAAACCTAGGAAGTATTTTTGTGCAATTTAACCATACAACTGAGGCAAGTTTTGACATCTGACATTTTTCAAACTGTGTTCTTTAATAAATGACGGTGTCAATCATCAGACCAAAGCACTTATTGTACAGAATGAGTCTCCACTTGTACACTTTTCACAGCAGCACTGGCCAGACTTGCTAGCAGGACTTCAAGTCCTTTGTAAAAACAAATAAGGAAACTGAAAGCAAACAAACAAATGCTCCCCCAACACAAACCCAAAACAACAGCCTAAAAAACCTTTTATAATATTTCCATTAAGGTTTCAAAATAAATGCAAAAATATGGAGGCCCGGGGAAAAAAGAAACGTCAGAAACAAAAAGCAGTGGGCGATAGATATTCAGTGATATCTGGTATACACACAGCATTAAAAAACCTTCAAGTTTTTGTCCAATAAATTAACTGCCACAGATTCTTCATCATCTTCCCAGACAGACAGAACGGACCTTTGTAAGGCATCTCAGCGCAACAACGGCGCTCAATAATGCAACGCAGCAATGTCAGCGCTGGTTTGGGACCAGCATACACATCCTGCGGGCCAGAGGTGAGAAGCCTCTAACAACACCACACTGACTCCGTAATAAAAATAGATATTATGGCTAGCCTAGAGCAATGGCAATTTCATAGGATTAAAAAAAAAAAAAAAAGAAAGAGAAAAAAAAAGAAACAAACATCAATACCTCCCAGCACAAGTGATTTTTCATACCAAGAGTATTAGTTTCCAGTTTGAAGCTAGTCCCTCGAGAACACCTACTAGTTCAACCTACTGGTTTTAGTTTGTTATAACTAGGTCAGCAACTTTCCTTTTTAGCATAACATCCACACTCCTGGTCTGGCTTCAGTGAGCCAGCGCGACCTTTCCAATGCTGCTGACTAGATGCCAGCCTAGAGCACCTCACTCCACCAGGAAGGTGGAGGAAGTGGAGGAAGGAGGAAGATGGAGACTGCTTGCCAGCATAACACCTCTTGACATACGCAGATGGTGGAAGATGTTCAAGAACAGCTCCGTTCACACGGTGCTGGTAACGGCCTAGCAGAGTTGCTCAAAGGTAGCCAAACGTGTATTACAGGAAGCTGGTCAGGTCAGTTGTATGTTTAAACGTACCTTTATTCTTCTTTAAATGTACCTTTATTCAACAACTACTGTTGTTCTGCAGAGATCTCAAGGGAAGGCTCAGGAGCTTCATTAAGAATATACGTAACTGGGAGACTGATGAAATACAGTCAACCAGAACTGTAAGAGAGAAATGCCCCCCTCCTCCTTAATGGGAGCACACTAAAAGGTATCAAAATGGTAAAGCCTAATTGGGATAAAGCCTTAATTAGAATACAGAATACTCCAACTAGAACAAATAGTTTAAAACAGAGAAAACTAAGACCTGCTGGGAGAAAGTAGATTAACAAAAGCTTTGAAAACAAATCTGTCCCCTCCAATTACACACTATGTCTTTGCTAGAGAGATCCTTCTCTTCAATCCTCCTTTGCAGTCCATCAAGTTCCAGGAGCTGCCTGGCTGCAGTCCCCCCGGGGCGCTATGAAAATCTACCTTCTGTCCATCATTAATGAGGTTTTGTTGTACTACTGCAAAGAAAAAAAAATCCGTTACTCCTCTTGGAAGTCTTTCTGCCTGTGCATTCTCTGCATGCTTTCCTTCTCACTACCTTATCTAGCAGTCCAAAGCTTTATTGCACCTAAAAACATTCACATAATCTTGGGAAAGGATAAGCCTTCTGCTTGGACTATTCCACCTGAAAGCAGCAGCCAGGACAACTACTGGAAATAAAGAACAAATGCAACTGTTATCTTTGCAATTGTTTATCTTATTCTGTGTATACATGCATCCATACATATATCGCATAAACAAGAATCACCGCAAATGAACTGCAAATTAACATCAACAGGAATTTAAATGAAAGAATGGGGCTGGCACTGAAACAGAAACACAATCCAGTTCCGTGGATCTTAATTTGTGTCTTTAGTTGCAAAAAAAAAAAAAAAAAAAAAAAAAAATCCGCTCTCCTCCTCCATATAGCCTCCGTATTTCCTAGGTTGTTCAAAATCATAATGTTGAATGACACTGACTAAATTGTTGGCAGGACTGGGACTCAAGATCTTAGGCACAGAGGATAAACAGGACAAAGACAACAGTAATTCTCTCTGTGAGCAAGTTATTAAATTAAGAAAACAAGGATATTGTGCCAGTAGCTTTTACCAGCACTTTCTGAGCTGTAGGACAAAGTTAGGTACTAAAAATCCTAAAACACAGCCCATAGTCTCAAAGGTTTGCATGTGGTATGGTGATTGCTGACTGCATAGCTAACTCCTTCTACTGCTACCAGAAGCATCCTCGAGTTCCCATCCTTCTAATGCAGAACATTCATCGTTGCTCAGTAAAAAGCTCTGCGAAACGCGTAACCAGAGTTATTAACAGCGACCAGCAGAGCTGAGACTGAAACTTCAGGTATCTTCACATCTCCCAAGCTCATTTTCCTTCCGTAACCTTACGGATCTTTTTGCTACTCCTGTTCTTCCTGCCTGTTTCAGTTTGAGAGGGAATTATCTGGGCATTATAGGTGTACAGGAGTTCTGTGGGGGTCAAATATTCTTTTAAAGACAAAGAAGGGCCAGGAAGGCTAGCACGAGACCTCCATCAAGCTCTGAGTGCTTTTAAGTGGCACAAATTTCAATTGACCACTCCATTTTCCGTTCCTAGCCCAAAAGTTTTCTTAAAAAAAAAAGGGGGGGGGGAAGTAATGAAAGTTTTTTCAAAGTTGATTTATTTCTCTGAATTTTCAACCACAGTTGCTGAAGCTTTCAAGAAAAGAAAAAACAACAACACAACCCTTGCAAACCCTTAAACCCAAAACTCAGAGCACAGACAAGAAAAGTTCAGGCCAGGTGACTGAAATTTGCCCAAAGGGGCAGGCAGGCATTCCT